TTAGCAGACAAAGCACAAAGTGATCAGGGCTATGGTAGGCAAAAAAGGACTGTGAAGCACAGGAGGGTCACCTGGAGGGCAGGGGTGTCAGAGGCGGCTTCTTAGAGGATGTCACAAATAAAAGCTGAGCCTTGAGAAAAAAGTGTATATAGTCAGTTAAAGAAGACAGGGTAGAACATTCCAGGAAGATGAAATCAAACGTGCAAAGCTCCTCAAATGGAAACATTCAGTTTTTGGAGCTGGGATGGAATGTGGATTGTATGTGGGGAGCAGCAGAGAGAAAAGGGAAGAGGTGACGTGGCTGATGCCAGAGTCAGGGGGGCCTGAGAAATGCAAGTGAGGGCTATGTATTTAGGAGTACAAGAGTAGCAATGGGGGACCATACAAGGCCCAGCCTCCATTCACTACCCTACTTAATTAAATCTCCCTTACTGTCTTGCTAATTAATTTAATAAACAGCCAACTTCCAGGTCTGAAAAGATATCTATGTCCAGAGATGGTAGACAACAGAGGGCTGGCTCATACATGGCAGCTGTACCTTTTTTTTTAACAGTTAATTTTTAAATTTTGAGGTAAGTTTAGACTTACAGAAGAGTTTCAAAAATAGTATAGAGAATTCCCATATACTCTACTCCCAGCTTTCCCTTCCGTATCTTGCATAACCGAAGACTATTCATCAAAACTAAGAAATAAACTTGGCACAATATTGTTAACTAAGTATAGACTTCATTCAGTTTCCCCCTGTTTCACTGATGTCCTTTTTCTGTTCTATAATTCAACCCAGGATCCCATACTGCATGCAGTTGTCACGTCTCCATAGTCTCCTCCAATCTGTGACAGTTTCTTAGTCTCTCCTTATCTTCTGCGACCTTGACACTTTTGGAGAGTGTTTTGTAGAATGTAAGTCATTTTAAAGAATGTCTCTCAATTTGAGCTTGTCTGATTTCTCAAGATTAGACTGGGAATGAATCTATCCCTATGTGTGTGTATATATGTATATGTATATGTGTATATACATACAGATACTGTATATATAGCTGGGTGTATCTATCTATCTATCTATCTATCTATCTATCTATCTATCTATCTATCTATCTATCATCATCTATCATCACCTTCCTATTTATATTATGAGGTGGGTACATGACATCAGTGTAAACACACTGGTGATGTTAACCTTCATTGCTTGGTTAAAGTGGTTTTTACGAGAATTCTCAACGAAAAGTTACTCTTTTTCTCTGTAATTACTAAGTATTTTGAGACTATGCAAACATTATTTCTGTTGAAACCTATGCTCTCTTTATTTTAGTATGTATCAGTGGATACAGCCTGCAGCAGTTATAAATGTGGTCTTCTAATGGTAATTTTCTATTTTCCTCATTCCTTCCTTTTCTTTCTCTTAAATATAATAGCACTTTCTGCCACCACAAGATGCTCCAGGCTCATCTTTTTTAAAAAAAATTTTTATGTATTTATTTTTAGAGAGAGAAACACACACCGATTTCTTTTTCCTCTTACCTATGCATCATTGGTTGGTTCTTGCATGTGCCCTGACCAGGGATCAATTCCGCAACCTTGGTGTACTGGCACGACGCTCCGACCAACTGAGCCACTCAGCAGGGCCTATCCAGGCTCATCTTACATTTGCCCTGCCTCAGACCTAGAATCAATCAGTTCCTCCAAGGAGTCCTGGTTCCTTTAACTGATCTTCAGAAACCAAGTGCTAGGTATGCTCATTGCTATTGGAGTATCAATGCTTTTAAGCCCCTTTCAATGGACAGAGCTAGAAAAAAACATATGTATACCAACTCATGCATCTATACACATGTCTATCTATATATTTTTATCAGCCTATGTAAACATGAGTCCATATTGACCCCTCTAATTCCAATCTGGCACTAGAGGTTTCATTCTGTCCTTCCCCTTTCCTGATTTATCACTTCTTTCTCTGATGTGACAAACCTGACTCTCATTATCTACAATATATTTACTTGTTTGTTCAACCCTAGTATCCAAATAAAGTAGTGATGAACTCTGAATCCACAACCCTGAAACAAATTTACAAACTGGGTGCTTTGTCTGTATACAGTTCCTTTTGTCTTCAGCCTCAGTCAAAACACTGTTTTTTCAGGGTCACCTCCTTTCTTCCCATTCCCTTCAGTGTGGCTATGTGATTTACTTACATTCATATCTCACAGTCTGTATTCTATCTTTTCCTCTCATATACAGGGTGTTTTAAAAAAATCATATATATAGTAAAATTCGTGGTGTATAATTCTATAGGTTTTGACAAATGCATACAATTATGTGTTGAACATCATAGTTCCGTGCAGGACAGTTCCATCACCCCCAAAATATTCCAATGACAATTTTATTTTCGATTCCACTCTCCCAGCACCAACCAGGAGGTGGCAGGGTTTCTCTCTCAGAGGCAGCCTTCACCAGACAGCTGAGACTGCCTGCTCTGCATGCAAATAGGCCTGGCAGGCAGCTCTCACATCTCTGCTGTCATCTTCTTCTGGCTATGGTTAGAAAGGCTAAACGTCGCCTTCCCTAAAATAGGTGAGTCTGGCTGGAAACCTCAGAATCTCACACTTCAACTGAATAAGTAGGATGATTCATCTGAGTAGTCACGAAGGCAACCCATAAATATGCTTTGATAAAATCGCCACAGTGAAATAAATGAAAACACCAAAAACAAACAAATAAACAAAAATCTTCACAGTGAGGGCAACAAAGGGAGATAAAAACAAAAAACTAGAGACAAACACCAAAACAGGTGAAGGTGGGTAGATGACCACAAACTCTCCAAGACATCTCTTGTTTGATATTGGTGCCTCGTGTACACAAAGAAAGGGATTCTATGGAAAGTAACCTCACAAGGTGATCTGATCATAAATTCCTAACTGGGAAGGTCATGGTGGGTAGTCACGTCCTAAGTTTTAGTAAAAGGTTTATCTTTGCCTTAAGCAAGCCCTGTCCATTGTTTCTGTACATCTAGGTTGACACACCTCAAGAGAGCACATAATCTTAACTAACCTGTAATCCAATCCACATGACCACCCTCAAGACAGCACATAATCTTAACTGCCCTGTAATCTTCCTACATTCATTCCCTTCTCAATCTGAAAATTCGTAAAAGAAACAGCAAACTATTGTTCTCCAGAAGATTTATCTCACTCAGTCTGGTGAGGTCTTGCTTCCAGGAATATCCTCTTTTTGGCTCAAATAAACTTTTATGAGAGTTCTCTACAGATATGGCCATTCTTATGTTGACACCACCACTAAACTAACAACTGGGGTAAACCATTTTACCTCCCTAAAATGCATCTGTAAACTGAGGGTAACAGTTAATAACAGGGTTGTTGTGTGTATGAGATAATGCACAGAAAGTGCATAAGAGTTTCTGGTATACACAGTGCTCATAAATATTAGTATTGTAAGTAAATTATAAATAATCTAAATTTATCTCAATGATCTTCTACATTTCTCTTACCTTTTTTCATAATGGGCAAATTTTCCAAAGATTCTTCTTATCCCCCACACAATAAAAAAAAAACAATCTGGATGCCTGCACTCATTAATGCTACAGGCCAATTTGAACAGTTCACTAAATCTGACCAAGCCCTATCCCTGCACACCTACAACTATGAATCCCTAATATCTTGCTGGGTACTTTATATACATTGTCACATTAATCCTCTACAGAACTCTGAAAGATAAGTATTATCAGACCATTTTAAAGGTAAGATCATTGAGTATCAGAGACATAAAACAAACCGCAAGGTCACAGAGCTGGGTCTGTCACCAACCTCTGTCTCCAAGCCTCCATTTGTCACACTGAACCAGGCAGCACTCCTCCCCACCATCCATGAAAACATCCTACATTTGGGACACTGGCCCTCTTCTTCTGTATCCAAGTTCTCTTTGGGTGATTTCTACACACTGACAAGATTTTACCACCTCTATGCCAACAACTCCACAAACTTCTACTTGTGGGCAGAACTTTTCACCTCAGTTCCAACACTATATAACCATCTTCCTTGGTGGACATCTGTACGTGTCCTTCTCGGGTACCTCAAACTCAGCATTACCAAGGCCAACATTTTGCCCCACCCAACTTTTTTTAGCCTGACGTTTTTTCTGGTAGGGTCAGTATTATTAATTCAAATCTTTAACTTCAACTTCTGTATGTCACCAGCTCCTACCAGGCGAGCTTCGCTCATATATCCTCATCTTTGCCATTCCTTGCCCCTCCTTCAAATCCTTCACGCCTTTCTTTGCACTCTAAAAACTTTCTAGGTGGCTTTTCTGCTTCCCCGACCCCAATCCATTCTTCAAGGCTGCCCTCTGGATAAATCCTCTTAGAATACCTGTTTAATTATGTCATCTCGGGCTAATGGCTCTTGGAAAGCTTCCCAATAAATCCCAAATTCTTTACCAACATTGACGCAGATCCCTCAGCATGCCTAGCATTTGAGTATGCCATGATTCTAACAAATAAAATGATATCACATTCAGAAGACCTACTGCCTTCTTAACTTTTCATCAAAAATCCCTACTTCCTGTCATCATGCCCTGAGAGAAGAACTAGTGGTGCATATTAATCTCAGTTAGGACTTGATTGTTAATTGGGGTCTTGCCACATGGAGCCTGTGCATTCATTCTCACAATCCTTAACATCTATCTCACCAATCTTTCTCCCCACAGACTCTGGGAGGTCCAGTAGGCAGCAATTGTGCCAGATTCATTTCTGGGTTGTAAGTACAAAGTACAAGGCCTAGAATATAGTGTGGGCTTGGGAAATGAATAACTCCAAGTCTTTAGCAGCTGACACTAAAGGTAAAGTGATGGGTGAAGGGTGGGTAGTAGAGCCACAAGCATCACTCACCCTTCCGGTTCATCCCCATCTGGAGGCATTTGAGCAGTCGGCAGTACTGGCACCTGTTCCTCTGCTTCCGAGACATGACACAGTTCTTGTCACGGCTGCACCGATACACCCGCTTGTTGCAAATGCTCCGCTTGAAAAACCCTTTGCAGCCCTCACAGGAGATGATTCCATAGTGCAAGCCTGTGGCGCGGTCTCCACAAATGAGACAGGTTCGTTGTTCAGCCCGATCATCTGGAACAGAAACTGAACATATTCAAGTTAGAATACAGTGGGAATAATGGCTTTAAGCCTGCAGTTCTAAAATAAACAACCCTGCTCTGGGCAGATCAAGAACATTACCCTCTCCAGAATAACTGGCAAACAGAGGGCATCTTTAGAATCCTTGTCCTAGGAACAGACCCCTGCATTTACCTGCAGATACCACAAATAAAGTGTATCAGTAAAAAGAACTTGTGTCCCTCTCCCTGGATTTCATCATCATTTGGACAAGTATCCAAGTTCCTCTCCCTTAGCTTCCTCGGACACAGCTCATCACTTTTACCCTTTGCTACACAGTCTTCGAAACCTCAGGAACAATCTTTCTCTCTCTCTTTTTTCTTTTAATCCTCACCCAAGGATATTTTTTTCATTGTTTTTGAGAGAGAGTGGAAGGGAGAGAGAGAGAGAGAGAGAGAGAGAGAGAGACATACTGATTGGATGCCTCCCGCATACACCTCAGCTGGGGCTGGGAATCAACCCTGCAGCCAAGGTATGTGCCCTTGGCTGGAATCGAACCGGGACCCTCAGTATGCAGGCCAATGGTCTAATCACTGAGCAAACCAGCTAGGGCTTTTTTTTCTTCCCCCTCCCACTGATCCCATCCATCCCGCATCTACCCCCAGCCTAGGCCTTCTCCACACTATTGTCTATGTCTGTGGGTTATGCATATAAGTTCTTTGATTAATCTCTCCCCACCCACTCCTCCACCCCC